TAAGTATTCCTACCAGCCTGGTTCAGTTGCCATTTGCCCTTTTGTCTGTATATATATTTTTCCCCGTTGGTCTGAATCCTGCAACTTTTTTTTTCAAGTAATTTCTTTACAGACGATGAATGAAATATTCAGTGATACATTTTTCTCCAGACAAAATAGATGCTGCGTTGGTTACCATTCATAAGATGAATGAATTACTTATTGAATGCTTCTAGCAATATCGAACAAGTCTACAAGGTTGAACACGCGACAAAAATGTTACATGTTCTTAGGCAAAATATAACTGACTCAGCAAGCAAGCGTTCCTGTCTTTTGTAAATTGTGTGAGTTTCTGCAACTGGTCTAAGGCATGGCATATATTATATAGAGAGAACGTCACATTTATGTACCAAACATGTGGAAAAGGTTTGAATGAGAATTAATGAATCCACAATGTATAATGTATATTTAACTTTACGATTTTATAGCAATTGTTATACTGAAACGTCAATGTCATATTTTGCATATTAGAATACATTCTAGTTTTCTGGTGCCTTCCCTTACTGTTCTACTATTTTCATGGTAACTGTTTGGGAAACGTGATACGTCTGTGGGGGTCTTAATACTTCCCACTGGACATTGTGTTTATGATAAAAAACTAAATTTTATGGAAAGATACCTTTTATTCTAGGGGAAGAACGTGCAAAGAGGGCGAACCTTACGAGAAGTCTGCTGAAAAAATAAAAACAATAAAACAATAACAACAGAAAAATAAATAGCAAATAGACAAGCTTTGAAAGGTACACCGCCCCCTTACCGCCTCTACTCACCTGTCTGTTTATATTAATAGTTTCCAATCTCGCGACCTATCTCTCAAACCTCGAACACATCCATGACCTCCCGCTATAATTTTATACTAAGATGAAATAACGTACTTAGTAGTACGCACAAACTTTATTTATTTCTTCTCGCTGTAAAATATTCCCTATTAACCGTGACTATATAGTATGATAAGAGTATTGCCTAACGCCTTGCAAATTGGCCAAAATTTTCCCATTAGATTTCGCGAAGGTCACGACTCATCAACTGGGAACCACCAATCTAAAAATACTTAACAGTTGCCGTGCACGCATGTATATACATTTTTTTCTCTCACTCGGTCTCTGGTGCTAGTCAGGGTACCAAAAAACTTTAGCGGGGAACGAGTTCTCGCCAGCATCCGCCTGGGCCACAGCGATTTTACGGGGGGGGGGGGGAGAATGATTCCCTCATGGTTTCCTTCACGTGATATTTCCAAGCTTTCTCGTTTTTTTTTTTTGCTGGCCAATTCTAACTTATGTATTTACATGTATGAGTAATACGCAAGCTGATATTTTTTTCATGTAGGTTGGATTCTTGAAGTTGTTTGAATGCGTTTGTGTGATTTTCATCAGCATGTGTATACTTTAGGAAGTTCATTATCAGTATTTTGGGTAAATGTGTGAAAATAGCTATGGTCAAAAACCGTATGTACTGGAAAATTATATATATAAACCTTGAACATCTTTTTTTTATAAGCGACCGAAACTTTCCTACTTGAGGACGCTGCTCCGGGGCCTCGCCGGGGAAAAAATCCTGCATGTTCTGGAAGTGGACTGACTATTCATAGATGGAGTAAGTTCACTAGAAAAGCAAAATGTGAAAACATCGGTGGGTTTCATATGTACATCTATCTATCTATCTATATCTGTCTATATATATACACACACACAAACACACACGCACAAACACACACACACACACACAAACACACACACACACACACACACACACACACACACACACACACACACACACACACACACACACACACACACACACACACACACACACACACACATATATATATATATACCAAAGATCTCTCACTGCATCTCGTCTTTCGTCCAAAATACATCAATTGGCAACTCAATCATGGCTACGGTGTGAGGATACGACGAGTTTGAAAACATTAGTCTCATGAGGCCATTTAGACACTTCATATACGGGGAAATGTATATGTTTAGATATGTATAGTAATTATAATGTTTTATTTGATGTTGGATTACATATATTTTTATAAATATAGAACTAGTAGCACCGGTTTGGACAGAATTGAAATAAAGAAAAAGAATAAAAAACAAACATGTATCGAACCCTTAAACCCGGAAACCCCACCGAAAAGTCTGATATTGTCTACAACGGAAACAGAGGCGTATCTAATGACTTTTACTACAGGGAGAGGCAATAAGGTTCCTTAGGGCATAAGACCTCTGTTATCGTTTTTTTTCCTTGCCCTTTTTTGCCTTGTAGAAAGAACACTGGGTTTGTCCCTGTACATGCATAATTAACAGAACAATCAACGCTTATTTTCGTGATCACCGACTACTCACAGCTAACCTGTAACACGCGCTGTGCATACGCACAACGCGGAAAAAGTGACGCTGCTTATAAGCCCCTACGCAAGGCTGATCTGGCGTGCCTAACTTCAAATACACTTTTT